AAAAAAAAAAAAAAAAAATTATATTCCATTTTTAACATTACGTATATATATAATACCCAATATACCCGATGTGGCCCCGGATGGCATTAGGAACCCGGCGCATTCCCGTTTCACGGTGTCATCCCGATGGGATCCCGTTCCCCAATGGGATCGCGAAACCGATGGGTTCCAGTTTATTGTTGGATCTCGTTCCTCATTAGGATCTTGTTCCTCTATGGGATCAATACGGACAAGGAAGGATAATTAACAAACTTAGGCCTAGATCTATGAATTCACATAGAACCAATAGCGTGGTCTAAGCCTATTGGTATTTATATTGCGTACATAAGGAAAAATGAAATGGGGCCCCCCTGGCCCCAAAGGGATGGATATTATGAGTTCAGTACCCTTCGGTATTTGAATATGGATAAGTGAGTGTATATGTAATGAGTGTGTCAATATCCATCCATTCATGTAGGTGTAATAACCCTATTGACCTATAGAATTTTCTGGAACATTTTATATCAAATATAAGATCCTCCGCGAAACGTGCAAAAAAAATGTCTTTGTTAGGTAAGTATTCTTGGAATACGAAAAAATAAAACAAATAAATGCATTACTATAACTACACTACATTTAAGTTAAAATGAGGGACGTTAAAGGCCCATTTCATAACTGTACCCTTTAAGTAATGTCCAAGATTGTCGGCCCTATAAAAATCAGAAGATAAATAATAACATTCAAATGCAAAATTTGTCCTATTAAAATTTTCCTTATAAATGCAATAGATATAACTTTGTAAAATTATCGAACTTTCTGGAAAATTATAGATTGGATATTTTTATTTTTCAATCCACCTCAGACTAAGCAGGGTGCTACTACAAATCTAGATCAAAGGCCTAGATCGATCAATTCATAAAGAACCTATAGGGTTGTCTAGGCCTATTGATATTTATATAGCTTATAAAAGGAAAAATAAAATGGGTCCTCCGGCCCCAGAGGAATGTGTATTATCTGTGCATTACGCTTTCGTATTTGAATATGGATAATCATGTGAATTTGTACTAAGTTTGGTCATCTATTCATGTAGGCGTATTAAGCCTATTGATATTTATATAGCTTATATTAGAACAAATGAACAGAGGATTGGATATTATGATTTCAATAACCAAGTGAATGTGTACTCATGTAGGAATTTTTTGAATGTCATTTTATAAATATAGCTCATTTAAGAAAAAAAAAACATGAATTTGTGGCCCCCTGGCCCCAAACAGACTGTTACAAAAAGTTCATAACCCCTTAAGAGTTTCTAGCAGATACTGAAGAATATATGTACCAAGTTTGGTTAAGCTCCATCAATCCATGCAAAACGTAGGTGGAACAAAAAAACAAGCAAACACATTTTTTTAACTTTTATATCTATACATAGGTATATGGATATATCATATTACTTAAAACTGTTACTTCAAATTTTTACTAGTGTATCGCCTCAAAGTAAAGAAGACAACCCCCCACTCTGATCACAATATGCAAAATAAGACCCTGCTATTGCCACCATTTACAATTGTCCTTGAGTTTCATCTTTACCAATTGCCTACAAGTGACGTATCTCATTTCTAATTCTTTTTAGTTTTAAAGATTATAGTTGCTGTTATCCGTCCGTCACATTGTGACGATGCAGTGGGCTTCGGAGGACGAAATCCACATGGCCTGGGATTATTCTTCAAGAATAACCTGGTTCCCAACAGCAAATCGCCTCTGTCCGCGCCGCTGGATAACACAAGGAAACATCAATGGATGATACAGCTTGCCACGAGCGACGTCGCAGGAGTTGTCGGAATGTTTCATTGTATCAGTGTTTTCCGCATTTCGGGACTAAAACTCATGGTTTGATTTCAGAGTTTCCTTCTCTTACATTAGTTACCGACCAAGGTTAACGAGTCTCATCCACCCGGGGTGATGGTGATGTTTTTTGTTTTTTTTTGCTTGACTGGACTCTGACTGGAATTGAACTCCAGACCACAAACTTGCGATTTGCTCAGTTTAAACCAATCGGCCACCAGCACCCAAAAGACACCGAAAAATGGAAATTTCAACAAAACTCGAGGTCTCAGAGCATGCAAGTCTCGACAAGCTTATCAATGACGAAGTTAATACTTTCTTAATGCATGCGACATGCAGAGGCAAATCAGCTTTAAGTAAAGCATCGAAAAACGGTGACAGAGATATTGTTGAGTTGCTAATTAAAAAAGGTGCTGACGTCAATGTCAAGGACGCTGATGGCTGTACGGCACTTAAGTCAGCAGTGACATACGGTCACAAAAGCATTGCAGAATTACTTATTGATCGTGGCGCCAATGTCAATGATAAATATGACAATGGTTGGACAGCTCTAATGTCAGCATCAAAACATGGTCATAGAGATATTGCAGAGTTTCTAATTAGCCGTGGTGCAAAGGTAAAGGACAAAAGTAATGAGGGATGCAATGCACTAATGATCGCATCTTATTACGGACATAATGGCACAGTAGAGATGCTTATTAAAAATGGGGCAGATGTCAATGCCACTGATAAGCACGATGGGACAGCATTAATGTCAGCATCACACGAAGGGCATAGAGACAACGTAGAGGTGCTGATGAGACATGGGGCACATGTTAATGCTAAGGCTGTTGATGGCTGGACAGCTTTAATGATTGCATTAAAAAATGGACATGCACACATTGCAGAGCTGTTAATTGATGGTGGTGCAGATATTACGGTTAAAACGGAAGAAGGGTGGACTGCTATAATGATTGCTTCACATTCAGGCAATACTGACATTGTCAAAATGCTTGTCAAACGTGGCGCAAATATAAGTGATAAGTTTAAATGTGATTGGACGGCACTAATGTTTGCCTCCCAAAATGGTCATAAAGAAACAGTTGAACTTTTAATTGAAATTGGAGCAAATTTAAATGACAAACATAAAGATGGTTGGAATGCGTTAATGTTGGCTGCACAAAAAGGACATAACGACATTGTAGAACTGCTGATTTGTAGTGGTGCAAATATAAATGACAGAAATAAAGATGGTTGGAATGCATTGATATTGGCATCACAAGAAGGAAATAAAGACACCGTGGGGCTGCTGGTTAAACGTGGTGCAAATGTAAATGACAGAAATAAAGATGGTTGGACTGCACTGATGCTGGAATCCCATTATGGCCATGGTGACAATGTAGAGCTGTTAGTAAAAGCTAAAGCGAATGTAAATGACAGAAATACTGTTGGTTGGAATGCTCTCATGTCGGCATCAAAAAATGGACAAAAAGATACAGCTGAGAGGCTTATTAAATATGGAGCAGATTTAAATTGTAAAAATAATGATGGCTGGACAGCTTTAATGCTGGCGGCACAAAGCGGTCATAAAGACATTGCAGACTTGCTCATTAAATCAACCGATGGTTCTAATGCACCCACGTCGGCGTCCAAAAATGGACAAAAAGATACAGCTGAGAGGCCTATTAAATTTGAAGCATATTTAAATTCTAAAAATAAGGATGGTTGGACAGCCTTAATGCTGGCCGTACAAAGTGGTCATAAACAAATTGCAGACTTGCTCATTAGCTCAGGAGCAAAGTTGCATGAAAAAAATAGTTTAGGTTGTAGTTCTCTGATCATAGCATCTTCAAATGGTCATACAGATATCGTCGATCTGCTGATTGAAAGTGGTGCTGACATTGAGGACAAAGAAAAACGAAAACTAACCGCTCTGATTATGACATCTCGGCTGTGGCATAACGAGACCGTCTCACTGCTAATTAAAAAAGGCACAAATGTTAAGGTCACCGATACAAAAGGTAACACGCCCATGATGTTGGCATCAATATTTTGGGATAGAGACATTTTACTACAGCTGGTCAAAAAGAAGCCCATTGATATCAACACAAATGAAGACTGGAAACAATTATTATCACGCATGAAAATGACAATAACAACTCTGATCGAAAATGGAGGAGATGTCAACATTCAATCAAACAATGGTTTAACCGCTTTGATGCTAGCTATTCTTAGTGGACACAGAGATATTCTTCGGGTGCTTCTCGAAGAGGAATTAAATTCAAAGGAGATAACTGAAGATAACGTGAATTATTTGATGAATTTATCTCGCTTAAAGGTTATAGAAAATGTTTCAGTGTTACTTAACAATGGAGCTGACGTTAATAAAAAAGATAAAGATGGATGGAGTGCCTTGATGTTGGCTTCAGAATGTGGCGACCTTGCTTGTGTTGAACTTCTATTGAAACATGAAGCAAAAGTTAATGAAAGAAATAACATGGGGTGGTCTGCCTTGGCAATCGCATCACAATATGGATATAACGATGTTGCTAGGAAACTCATTGAGAATGGAGCAAATGTAAATGCTAAGAATGAAGAAGGATGGACGAGTGTTATGATAGCTGTACTAAATGAGCACACCGAGACAGCAGCATTGTTAATTGAGAACGGTGCAAATGTGAATGAAAAAAATAAATATAGGGTGACATGTCTAATGATAGCAGCAGAAAATGGTCTGATGGAATTGGTTAAATTGTTGGTTGAGCATGGCGCTAAACTAAATAAACAAAACTATGACGGCGTGACGCCACTGATGACCGCTATTAAAACTGTACGTTACGATGTTTTTCAGTTCCTTGTCGCAAAAGGTTGTGATTTAAACTTGAAAAACATTAATCACAGGACAGCTCTGATGATTGCGTCACAAAGTGGACACGCCAGTATCGTTAAGACTCTTATAGAACACGGAGCCGACGTCAACGAGAAGAACATCCATGAACTAACTGCTCTGATTTTAGCGGCAAGCTCCGGCCACGCAGCTATAGTTGAATTGTTAGTCAGCCATAGAGGTAATGACAGTCAATTGAAAAAGAATATCTCCCGGGCCTTGTACTACGCATACAAAAACAAACATTTGAAAGTTGCGGAAATGTTAATCGAAAAAATTGGTAAGGCGGAAAATGTTAATCACACCGAAGGAAGTCGAGAGAATTTTGAAGAGGATCGTTTAACGTCTGGCTTCCAACGGAAAGAAGAACACTTGCACGTCTTACTGATGAACTCTTCTCATTGCAAATATTCCCGCACCTTCAAAACTCTGAGGAAACACGTCTTTGATCGCAACTCTAGAAGTTGCATACTTTCATCGCTTGATCTGGACGAAGACAAGAACTCAAACACATTTCATACATCAAGGTGAGCCATTCAGTTTTCTAACAAAAAAATGTTTTTATGGAGGATAATTTTGTTAGCTTTAAAATTTGGGTTTATAATTCGTACAAAACGTAATTGCATACTTTCATTAACTGATAACATTTTGTTATAGAATTATTTTTAATGAGCCGTATCGCATGCACCAAATTATGTCACAAATGTATATTAAATTGGCTTAATTAATATTTGAATTTAATGACTTATTTTTTAAGCAAAAATAACTGTGAAGTTTACGACCAAGCAAGAGCCCTCAACGAATTTTTTATTAAAAATATCAGATTGTCTACATTGCGAAGAAAATATATAACATTTTTTTGTTTGGTATTTCTTTGATTTTAATGAAATCACTATAAAGACATTATTATTCCCTAATGCAAATTTAATTGTTATAGATGAATTAACTATCCTTTAATTTATTCATATAAATTTATTGAACAATAGGTAGGTAAAATTAAATATAAAGCAAATAAAGTTACAGATTGATACATTGTATAGAGATGTATTCAGTTTTATCTAAAATAACATAAACATTTAAATTGCGCGTTATTGTTTTGTTTTTTTAGTTAGTAACATATTACTAGCCATTCTACCCGTCGCTTCTTGGGGTTGCATTCGAAATTAAAACTTCAAAAGCATTATCAGCATACATATTATGCTAAAATACCACTACTTCACTCACCTTATTGGCTCCCTACACATGTACGCAATGATTACAAGCTGTCTGTTCTCTGTCGCGACTATTTCTCTGGTTCCTGCCCTTCCTATCTGACTGAACTTGTTACTGTCTATTCACCCCTTCGTAAGTTTTGTTCCTCCGCAGACTCGCGTATTCTTTCTGTTCCCAGAACACGCACAAAAAAATTGTGTCAACGATCTTTCTCTTTCTGTACCCGAAAACAATGGAATTCTCTCCCATTACACATCTGTAATGTAACGACCATCACAGTCTTCAAAAGTGCCCAAAAATCCCATCTCTTCAAACTGCAATATACCGACTCATTCTCACCACCCATCTAACTGATAAGCAGGGCTCGATTCTGCTGGGTACTGTTCATGGCTAGACAGGGGTAGACAGTACTTGGGTGGGTAAGGTAAAGCTTTCCAACAATTGTTGTTGTTAAATGTATGCATTTCTATAATTGCTAATTTTTATGTAAAGAGCAGAGAGCCTAGCCCTAGGCTGGGGTACTGAGCAGTGAGCCTAGCCCTAATCTTGGGTACTGAGCAGTGAGCCTAGCCCTAGGCTGTGGTACTGAGCAGTGAGCCTAGCCCTAGGCTGGGGTACTGAGCAGTGAGCCTAGCTCTAGGCTGGGGTTCTTCGCAATATAAAACCTCCTAATAATACTCATACTAATTTTATAATATTCTCCTATGAGAAAAGACAGATTGATCATAGCTCGAAAAAATATTGAATTTCGGGCCTAGCACATTTCTGTCAACATTTAAGCTTCACAAAGCCTAGAAAAGATTTATGTACAGAATTTTATACCTTTCAAAATGTGTCTATTTATTTATTTTTTTTTATAAAAGGCACTCGCAAATGTCAAATTTGTGATCTTTTATCAGACTAAATAAAATAGGATTCCCGCCAGGATCCTACTTCAAAATATAGGACAATTTTAGTTATCAAAAAGACATCATTCTGATAAATATTCCAATCAAATTGCCAAATTTCTCCCATTCACAATGGATGGAATTTGCCAACGATATTACCTTTTCGAGTTTTACGATTTGGTCGCCCAGCTCCTGGAGGTATAATTTTTAAAAAAATTTTTTTTAAGTTTAAGAAATATTAGGTTGCGTTATGTTCTAACGTTATTTTAAAAGTTATGAATGTAAAAAAAAAATAGTTGAGAAACATTTAAGATATAGCTATTTATCTAGAATAAAAAAATATAAAATATTAGTATTTTTTTAATTCGCCGATTTATTAAAAAGGCAAAATGAAACATACATTTACCAAATTTAGTCCGGGTGCAACAACTTACCGAAAAGCTCGCACTGCAGACTAATACTTCCGGTATAGCTTTGTGCAGTTTAAATAGCATTCAGGTTTTAACCTCGTGAACTCATTTTTTGAGCTTTCTAGAAACTTCAGAAAAAAATATCTTTAAATATCTGATTACATAAAATTTGAGGAAAACCATAGGGATCTCATTGACATGCTCATAATCTTTACTAAGAACCATATCGGACTTTAATGATTATTCCAGAAAATTAACTGCCTCTAGGGAGTGACTATTCTTAGATTTGGAACCAGATATTTTGTATTCCTTCAAGCGAAACTCAGTCCTCCCCGTATTCATCTGAGCTTTATAGAGTAGATTTAGGTTTAAAACTAAATCAGAGTTATGGCCAAGTTAACTTATATTATTTATTTTTTTTTAAATAGAAAAGATGAAAGCTCTAAAGAGTTTAGATTCTTAATTAAATGGACCATTTTTGGTTAAGTTCGAAAATTGAAAGAGAACAGAAAGAGATAGTTATGGCTGCAGTTTAAATATTTAGTCATTATATCTATTGAGTTGACTTGACCGCGAGACTAAGCCTAACCTCGAATGACTGTCCTGGATTTCAGAGGCGATTAAAGTTATTTTATTGTTATACATTAAACATTTCTTGTATGATGATTTTTTTTTCATCTTTCAGACTTCCGTATTCTTCTCCAACAAATCATACTACATTTAATAAAATAGTTATAAACTATCCAGGCACTGTTGCTATTGATAGTATAATCAATTATAGAACTGGACAGGGGAAGAATGGCAGAAATGAAAACAAATGGAGAAAACAAAGAGAAGGGATCTACTCGCCACCTGCAGTAAACCCTGGAAATAAAAGATGTGGAATGGTGATCTTGGAGGCGGACGATTCATCATCTGGCGAAAGTGAAAACGAAGAAGTTGACGATGAGAGTGGCCATGAGTAAATATTTGTAAACATATGATCATTAATACATTATGCTCCATATAGTTTCTTTTTTCAAAGTATTTTTTTTAAATGGGGGAAGGGAGGTGCTAAAAAATGTAAATAAGCAAAGAGTCATGGCTTACAGTTATCATGAAATATCTCATGCCAAAAACATTTTTTATAAAATATTTTATGACAAAAACATTTATCATGAAATATATATTGACAAAAACAATTATCTTGAAATATATATTGACAAAAAGTTTTACAATTAAATATATAACGCCAAAAATATTTAACATGAAATTGTCATGAAAAAACATTTATCATGAACTTTTTAATGACCAAATATTTATCATAACATATGTCATGAAAAAACATTTATGATGAAATATAAAATGACAAAAATATTTATCACGCAATAAATTTATTTATCATGAAATATATAATGACAAAAATATTTATCATAAAGTATTTAATGAAAAAAACATTTATCATGAAATATATAATGAAAAAATCCCATTTATCTTGAGATATATATTGACAAAAACATTTACCACTAAATATATAATGACAAAATTATTTATTATCAAATATGTTATGACAACAACTTTTATCATAAATATAAAATTACAAAAACAGTTATCATAAATTATGTTATGACAAACATATGTATCATATAATATGTAATGCCAAAAACGTTTATCATGAAATTTTTAATGACAAAAAACATTTATCATAAAATATGTCATGAAGAAATTATTTATAATGAATTAGGTAATGACAAATATATTTATATATCATGAAATATAAAATGAATAGAAAACTTATCATGAAATATACATTGACAAAAACTTTTATTATGTAATATATAATGACAATATTTAGACCATATGTAGCTATATTTAGACATTGTGTACATAGATTAAGACGTTATATACCTATATTTAGACGCTGTGTACATATAGTTAAACGTTGTGTACGTATATTTAGACGTTATCTACCTAGTTTTAGACGTTGTGTACATATATTTAGATGTTGCGTACCTATATTAAGACATTGTGTACCTATATTTAGACGTTACGAATCTATAGATAGTTGTTGTGTACGTATATTCAGACGTTATTTATCTATATTTATACCTTATGTACCTATATTTACACGTCATGTACCTATATTTAGAAGTAATGTACCCACATTTAGGCGTTTTGTACAACTATTAAGACGTTGTGCAACTACACTTAGACGTAATTCACCTACATTTATACATTATGCCCCTATATTTAGAAGTAATGTACCTATAAATAGACGGTTTGTACCAATACTAAGACGTTGTGCACCTATATTTAGACGTAATTTACCTATATGTATACGTTATGTACCTTTATTAAGACCTTGTGTACCTATATTTTAACGTTATATACATATACGTAGACGTTGTGTACCTTTGTTCAGACTTTGTGTACCTATATTTATAGGTTGTGTACCTTTAATCAGAATGTGTGTACCTATATTTAGACGTTATATACCTATATTGGGACGTTGTGTCACTTCCATTTTAAATATGCTACTCAAATACTTTCCAACCTGTCTTCTGCCTTGACCACTTCTTACAGTTGGTTTATTTCAGGTGCTAATGATATTTTAAGCTACGAAAACTGCCATAACATGCATGACAGCATTCGAACATTCATAACATGTCTTGCAGCATGCGAACAACGGTAACATATCTGTGTAGCATCCAAACCTTTCAATATTTTCTTATACTCTTTTTCTCCGACGGGTTCTTAATGAGCATTATGTATGCTAAATATAATATTAATTATATTATCATATTCATATCAATTATATGCCATTTAAAGAATTTCATTGACAACACGCTCTGACCCAAAATCATGTAAAGTCTTGTTTGCTCAACTTCAATAACATTTTGTTATAAGCCATTTAAAAAAAAAATAAAAAATTGTTATGTGTATAACAACAAAGGGTGCACATGACTAACACTGGGCGATGCTGTGTGTAGTGCAGAAGACAGAGACGAATGGATGCGGATAGTTCACATGTCATCTGTGGCGCCCCAACGGTCCAAGGGCGAAGGGACTATTTGAGGATGATGACGATGATGTTGACATGTAGTACTTTTCAAATGGTTAATATGTAAATAGAGTAGGTCATGTAAACAGAGTAGGTCATGTAGACAAAGTAAATGTAAACAGAGTAGGTCACGTAAACAGAGTAGTTCATGTAAACGGAGTGGGTCATGTAAACGGAGTAGGTCATGTAAACAGAGTAGGTCATGTAAACAGAATAGGTCATGTAAACAGAGTAGGTCACATAAATCCATGTTATTTAATCAATGAAAACAAAACAAAATAAAAAACATGTCCCTTTTGTTTTATGACACAGTAGGACGTCAACGGGCTGGCCACTGATGCATACCAATTTTTCAGTTATTAAAGTATCTAGGCCAGACGCTTGCCAGTCCATCCGTTGGGAGACCTGTTCCATTACGACGTGCCATGCACCCCCGCCCCTCACCTTCCATCTTCTCCTCTTTCTCAAAGTTCCAGAATCCGCCCCACCCCATCCCATACCCACCACCACCAAATCAGCATCACATGCGGGTGATGTCGGGTTCAAAATGACATTGTCATTTCCACCGGTATTGTTCCCTCCTCCCCCCCCCCACTTCCCCGTGAGCCCCGAGCTGCCCTGTAAACAAACGGACAAATAGTTCTCAGTTTCGGGAGAATTACAGTTTTCAATCGATCCCTAGCTACAGCTGTTTTAATGGTAACCATTTTGTTTTAAAAAGTTAAAAAAAAAAAAATTCATTTCTGATTTTCTGGAAGATATCCTCGGATTGGGATTAATTCAAGATTGCTGGACAACGTTATTTCAAGATTTCCATTATCTGGGATCTGGTGATATTTTTTTTTCTTCATCTCGGCGATGTATACTGAAAAGGCTAAGGTTTGAGATTTTGATATAAGAGGTTAAAGTGAACATCTCACGTTAAAGGTATTTAGTTCTATTGTTTTTATAACAACTCCACGTTTCAGAATATCCTGTGTATTCGCTTTGAGTTTTTTTTAAATATGTCATAAGTATGTAACTTCCAGGAGATTCCATTTCAAGGATATTTTTTCGTTTGTTTGACATTTCCAATTCAAAGTTAAAAACGTGGAACAAAACAAAAAAGAAAAGAAACAAAAGTATTCATTTAAAATTATTTTTTCTTCACCTGCGGCAAAAATTGTATAGATTAATTTTTTTTTTTTTAAATTACACTTTCAGTATTCAGCCCTAGTCTGTAGGGATTATGTTTTTTAATATCCATTTACTTTGTTATATTCGACTTTCTATTTAAAAGTAATATAAGAGATATGTTTATAGAGCTTTTTTGCTTTGAAATAATCGACATCTATATAAAAGTAACATAAGAGAGATATGTTCGTAAATCTAATTACCTTGTTATCATGGCCTATCTATAAAAATGCAACATAGAATGTATATCCCATACATTTTCCGATATGGTTCACAGTATAATTTAAATTACATCTTAAGCTACACACAATTTACCCTCTTTTCTTTGTTGTCAAAAACAGAATGGAGATGTCTTAATAGATGCGATTTAGCCATTTTAAACTTGTTTTCTTCAATACCTCATTATTTTTTAAATATTTCTTTTTTTTGCTAAAAATTTGGGTAAAGATATGTTTGTTCGTTTTTTATGCGTGTGTGTGTGTGTGTTTTGTTTAGAATTTTTATGTTTTTTTTTGTTCAAATCTTGTTGAAGACTTACAATGGATTGGTCTTTGAAACTGGTGTAGCTTGAATTGAGCAACGACCGGATCCACTAATAATACGTTTTAGCATTGTGTGGTACGACTTACATCGCCACTTGAAGATACTTCGCATTACACACTAAGTTAACCGTCCGGCCTATAATCCTATGGTTTGTCATATAGTGATACGGTGTGAAGGGGTTACTATTTGGTAGAAATAATTCTTATATATAATGACTTTACAACTTATTTCAAAAAACAAGTTAAGGGCTATTTTTTAAAATCATTCTAGACTTCCAAGGGTTAAAAGAAAAAATTATGTTACGGCTAATTAAATTAGTACTGTATGAAATAAGTGAGCTGCTACATTTCTGTTAACTGATTTGTTAATGTCAATAGAAACTAGTGAGAAATGCAGTTCTCAAACTCTGGGTCGCGACCTCTTTGATGGTTGAACGACCCTTACACAGGGGTCGCCTGGAAAACCAATATTTATGAAGTAGCAACGAAAATAATCTCACGGCTGGGGAACACCACAACATAAGCAACTGTATTAAAGGGTCGCGGCATTAGGAAGGTTGACAACCACTGATTTAGAAGCTAACATAAACTGTCCATAAAAAGACAATATGGCGCCATTAAAAATCCACGTAGAGTTATCAATGTTTCAGAAATGTTTCAATCAGAATGTTGAAAAAATAAACGTCAAGTTTGGATTGTAATTGACTTTTGCGGAAAATATTTGGACATCCTTGAAAGGCTAATGAGTATGCAATGTATAAAACAAAATCCATACTGATGCAAAAATGTATTTTAATGCACTGCTTCTAGTGTCATGAAAATGTTATAAAACACTTCCAGCAATAAGCATTAAATGTTTATGTTACAGCTTGGACCGATGAATTAGAGTGAAATCAAGGTACACAATTACTGGACTCAGTGTGCTTGGTACTTCAGGGTTGGTCGGTACGTTGGTCTAGAGCAGTTTTAAGCAGTGCTTCTTTAAACGAAGCGACAGCCCCGAAGGCATCAATTTGAAGAATATTAGTGGAGGAAGGAAATATTTATATCTTTTTTTTTAAACAGCGTGACAGTGGTAGACCGGACAATGGTAGACCGGACAATGGTAGCCAGGGCAATGGTAGCCAGGACAATGGTAGACAGGACAATAGGAGACAGGACAATGGGAGACTGGACATTGGTAGACAGGACATTGATAGACAGGACAATGGTTGACAGGGCAATAGTAGACAGGACATTGATATACAGGACAATGGTAGACAGGACAATGGAGACTGGGCACCATTTTTTTCAAGATAAGCATTATTTCTGCAAATTCTGGAAATACGAT